TGAATGACATCATTATCAACTGCTGGCCCAAGCCAGATCCCGAGGCATCATCCCTGAGTCTTCCTCAACAACTCCCAACCCACGTCTTCTCTTTTGTATCCACTAAGTGCCACTAAATTGGACATGAACTGAAGATGAAGGTCATGGGTATAGGCAAGTTTTAAAATCAGTGTTATCCTAGTCATTAAAAAATAAAGTAGAAAATTCATATCGGCAAGTAAAATCATCAGAGATTATCTTAGAAGGGACCCACCTTGTATTCATCTCACTCAATTTACCTGTTCTGCCTTCGTTCGTATTTTCACCTCCTCACTCCTGGGTTGCTGCAATAGCCTCTGGAATTCCCTGTCTTCATTTCCAAGTTCCTTAACCAAAATTCTACATGACACTCAAAACTTTATAAAACACTGTTGTTCACACTGTCCCCACCCCCCCTCCACCCCCCAGTAGCTAGCATGCCTTTCTTCCCAACCTGGTAGAGTTCCATTTCAAATGTAATCTTTTTCTTTAAGTGCTCCTTGCTTCTCCAGCTAAATTTCATTCCTTCGTCCTCCCAGAAACCTTTGTCAACTCTTCTCCATGAAATGTAACCCTTTATAACTTGATATTTCTATTTCTACCTAAATATTTTCAGTAAAGTGAAAATAAATCAATCTGAAAGAAGCAGAGGGTGAAATCAGGAACTTGATTAATGTAAAGGCTCTCTGGAACCCTAGGGCAGTGGCCTCTGTCTGCACACTGGAATCACCTGGGTAACTAAAAAATGTCTAGGTCCCAGCCCAGAGATTTTGGGTGCAGCATTTTTAAAATCTCTCCAGGTGATTTTGATGTGCAGCCAAGGCTGAGAAGTACTGCTCTGTGAGAATGAATGAATGAGTTAAGAGATTAATAAAGGATATTTAAATAGGAGACCTGGTGGAAATCAGCACAGATGACTCAGAGCTGACAAACTGTACTGCAGAAAAAGCAGTGGTGCTTGGTAAAAGTAAAATGGCTTACAACTAATTCCAGGCTAAAGCTGGAGAAGATGAGATGGGCTGAAAAGGATGATTAAGGGAAACGCTGCTTGTAATGAGAAGAGAAAGTGGTAGAAATGAGAGAGTGAATTCAGAAAAGGAATTCTGAAAAAGATGCCGTAAGTTCAGAAGTTTTCAAAAATGATAAAACCTGATGTGTGGCAACAATGATGTGTTGCTGAATTGGAGATGTTACAGGCGTAGAGAAGTTTTGAAATCAGCGTTACCCTGGTCATCAGCAATGAGAAAAATTCATGTCGACAGCTGAAATCATAAAAGAATACAGTACCTTGGAGGCCTGACAAAGATGACAGCATACTTGTGGAGAGCAGTGTTATAAACTGTGGTTTAGCTGTGAAAAAGGAAGATTTCTGTGGAGACTAATGGAACGACTCTTAACACCTGTGCATAGGAAGCAGCTCATCACTAAGCACGTTACCCTCCCCCGACCCCAAAAAGAGATCTGGTGGTTTAGAAAACCAGCTCTGTATTCAAAGACAGTTGTGTTGTTAATTGTAATAACCCATGATTCTTATTTTTTATCACTAAGGACTAAACATTTCAAAAATGCAGTAAATGCAAAACCAAATAAACAATTCTAAAATATTCTAAAATACAAAAACTGGTGCTCATAGCAAACAATAGAGCAAGAACATGGAGCCACCACTAAAATGACTCCTTCACAGAATCAACATGTAAAGCCTTGCTCTTTTTACTTCACTGCTTCCCCAAACTCTGGTCTTTTCTCCAACTTGATTTCTGTGTGCGGCTTCAAACACCAGTGACTCTGTAGAGAAGGAAAACACTTTATCTGTACACTAAGCTTAAATACCATCAGAACTGACAGATCTCTAGCTCATTAAATCCTCTGAAGTCTCACATTACTGTAAATATTGTAGCTGACCGACATCTCTTTACAGCAGGGGTCTCCAATTCCCGCATTGCGACCGGTACTGGTCTGTAAATTGTTAGAAACAAGGTCACACAGCAGGAGGTGGGCGGCTGGTGAGCGAAGCTTCATCTGTATTTTCTGCCACTCCCCAGCACTAGCATCACTGCCTCAGCTCCACCTCAGATCATCAGGTGTTAGATCCTCATAGGAGCACCAGTCCCTGGTGCCAAAAAGGCTGGGGACCGCTGCTCTACAGGACTCTATAGCAAGAGACAGGGATTTTATCTACTAGTACAGTGTGTCTTGTAATACAAGGAACTGTATAAATAAATTCACCTACAGTATCACCCAATCAGCGGTAAATGCTTTAGAATCATTTTCACTTTAGTAAATAGTAAGTCTACTTTATCCCAGTAATAAAGAAAAAAGAAAGTTTAATCTTTACAAAGAATATCAACCTGTTACCTAGCAGAGGTGGGTGTAGGGGACCATTTTTATTACCAGAGAATGTAAAAATATATACAAAGGAGAAATGCAAGGGAAATCCATTATGAAACTGGTATTAGAAAATCATTCCTAATATAATATGAATAAAATAATTCGCGTTATAGTCCCATATCATTATGGCAAAATATATTTTCATCCCTAAGTACAAAAGAAAACAGTGCTGCCCACTAGATAAAATCTAAACTAGATAAAAATCTATAACACCTAACATCTGACATATCAGTGCTATTTCCAGGTCCTACTTATTAAACCCAGAGTAAAAGTGCTTTATTGATCTGTTTTCAACATTCTAAATTAAAATTGTTTTGTTCTGACATAAGAAACAGCTGTGGAAAGCACTTAGTCCACTGCCTACTGCATGGTAGGCACTCAGCAATGACAGTTCCCAAGTTCACTGACTTGACCTTACCATTCCACTTCAAACATAGATTCTAACCACCCTTGAAAGAACTGCCTCTGAAAATTCTTAAGGCAGAGACACCGTGTTAACTGTTAAATGCCCATGTTAACAAGAGACATCTAATTATAAAACAGTATACATGCTAATTTCTTACACATGTGGGTAAGTCACATTTAAGGGTGACAACACCATCGTTTAAGGGTGACAACGATGGACAAAGAAAAAAAAATGGATAGAAAGGAAAGGAGGAACCAATGAGGGTGCAGAACACAATGGCGGTGTTAGTGTAAAAAGCACATCACAAAGCCTTTAAGTGCCAGGTTATCATGCAACACATAATCCACGAATTTGCTAAGAGAACACAGAGCTGTAACGATCCTAAAACCCTGGGTTTGGGGACTGCCAGCACTACCAGATGCATTCATTTCCACAGTTCCAATGCTTCTCCTTGAGCAACCAGTGGAAGTCACTGTAGCCACCTCCATGAGCTGCTGGCCCCTACAGGCGGAGACGCCAACCATGTCCAGTCTGAGAATGACAGCTTATGTTGGCTTAGAAGCTGACTGCACCAGAACTGGCTCTTGCAGGGCCATCAGTGTCCCTATGTTTCTTCAATGATCCTTGGTCCCTTAGGAATGACTTTACTCTCCTTGAGTAAACTAAAAAAAGGCACTCAAAACAGTGTTCCTGCTAAATCCTCCAGCGCTGGTATTTTGCAGTTCTTTCAAAGAGTAGCCCTTGTGATTAAGTCAAAACCTTTCTAGGGTTTGGTATAAAAAAGCCTATGTGTACCAAGCAAGACATCACCCCTCACCTGGTCATGTGCCCACCTTCTGCTGTATCCCAATTCTCCCTGGCCTTATACAGGTGTCCCCCTCTCCATGAAATAGTCTTCCTTGGAGCCACAGTTAGAACCAACCACTGTCCTTCTTGCCTATCTCTGAATTCCAGTATTGTTAGCACTGAGCAACTCATAAAGTCCCTTTTAATAGAACTCTCTCTCTAAGGTTGCAGAAGAATTCAAATTTCACTGTTAGCTCTGGAGAGTTCAAAGCTCCTCATTAAAATTATGCATGCTACATTATAATAATGAATTCTAGGTTAAAAATCATAATTTTCTATTATGCCGAAGTGACTTAGGATGAAAATGTTCAGAATTAAGTTCCCATTATTTTACATGATTGGAATAAACTGCCTAGTTTTTCGGATGAACACATTATAGCTAGTTACATTCTAAAAAATATATTTACCATTGTTCATTCACTCAAAAATTTTGAGTGCCCAGCACTGTGTTATATCCTGGGAATACAGCGAACACAACAGACATAATCCCAGGATGTTGTAATAACTTCTACACTGTGATACTTATCTCCAAAATAACCTGGCATATCTTAACGGCAAAAAATAAACTGGGTAGTATAGTTCAACATACAGGAAGTAAATACACCATGACAAAATATTATAGGAATTCTTTATCATTTAGCCTTTCTACATGTTATGATCATGTAACAATTATGATAAGAAATACTGGGCACTGAAATATTTGCTGGTCACTTAAAGAGTGCTAGTATTTTACCTTCAAAATTGCTATCACTATATGATTTTATACAGATCATTTAAAATGTACTAGTTGCTCGAGCAAGAACTGTTTGTCAGAGTAATAAAATTCATACAGCAAAATTTCATGCCAAGAATGAGAAAACACAGCACAATGGACTTCAAAATTAGTATATTGTACTTTATAATATCAAAAGATAAATTTTACTCTTCCTAGCACATCAAAGATGCTTTGTTTTTCAAACTTCGTTGATAGTTTCTGGATTATAAGCAACAGGCAAATATATTAACAATTTTCTTACTGAAAGAAAGCCCAATATATGTACAAAAAAACATTTAGGGAAAAAAGTTTGTCCTTGGTTTTAACATGCATACGTACATAGAAATAAACATATATACTCACAGGAGTAACAGACATTGACAAAAAAGTTACATTTAGCCAAGGTAAAAAATCAAACTAAGAATCCTGCTAGGCCTTTTTTTCCCCCCTTGAGGCTTGACAAAGAACATAGAAAGTTACCAGAGTATCAAAAAAGAACACAGAAACCACACTTCAAACAAAGTGCTTGTCAGTATCGAGACCTGATTTGACAAACAGGTTTAATCCACTTCCTCAAATGTCATGCTGTCAAGGTGAAGAATGAACATCTTCCGCTACTGAGTTAGGCTGGCTGTCATTCTGAGAAGTAAGGTGCCCCTCTTCCTCCTCCATGTAGGTCACTTTATCTGACCTCCTTGGAGGAGGAGGTTCATTACTTGTCCCCCCTTCAGTAGGTGACAGCATACCAGGCAATTCGTTTGACATCAGAACTTGCAAAGATTCTGTTCCATTTTCGACATCCACTTGAATCCCCAAAGCCTTAAGAACGTCACATTTGCACATGGGGCACGTCCCATGGGACAGAATCCAAGGATCAATGCAACTCTTGTGGAAAAAATGTTTACAAGTCAGAATACGAATTGTATCATTAGGCTTATAGAGTTCGAAGCAAACTACACAACTATCTCCGTTTGGACTTACTTCCTCATCCCCCTCTTTCAGAACCCGAAGTTGGAGCTGGCTAAATGCTATCTTAAGGTCTGTTGCTAATCGCTGCCATCTCCTGCTCTGAATCCTTGCTACCCAAAGTCTTCGAATATGATAAAAGATGAAATACACTAAAGTAGCAGTCGTGATGATCAAAAAAGAGACAAAATAATGATTCATCCAGATGATGTGTTTTCTCCCCACCTCAATCATCGCTGTCACGTGAACTCCCTTCTGAATTAAATGCAAAATCTCCATGCCTTTTAGGTTACCAATCATCACCACGACGACATCTTCAAATGCCTGATGCGACATGGGAAAAACCTGATTGCCAGTTCCTGGAAAGTTATAGATGATCACCCCACTGGCTCCCTTCTCAACGGCCACCTTAATCTTCTGTGTGAAGGGACAACTTCCACGCTCGATAAGTGCGAGCCACGGCTCTGAGATCTTTGCCCTGCTGAAACTGGTACTGGGATTACACGCAGTGTGCATTTTTCCATCTGGCAGCACAATAACTCCTGCCACTCTCTTCAAAATGGAGCTTCTTCCAAATACTCCGGTTTCCCCCAACTCTGAGAGCATGCGATTCCCAACATGAAATGATATGTTCATGTAAGCAGTCCAAACAGCGCTGGCTCTGCAACAGTTGTGACTAAGAAGCCAAAGAATACTGAATTTCACAAGCCAGGATGATGCAGTGCTGTTTCTCTCAGTGCCAGTCTTGAGTAGATTCATCTCTCTCTCTGCCTAGAAACTGAAGGACCGACCGAAGAAAAAGATGTGGCTTCCACATCTGTTGACAATCAATTTAAAGTAAGAAAATGGAAAAAATCTTCTGGGTGGAAGCAAGTTTTACTGTCTTCCAGCATGTTTTTGTGAGAAATTCTTAATGACGTCGTATGAGTTTCAGATGTTTTATTAGAGGCAGAGAGAGAAAAACTTTAGATTGAAAAAAAAAAAATCCTAGTCTCACTCTAGATACTGCTTACTGTTGGGTGATGTGATTATGACATAAAAGGCAACACAGCCAATTAGATAAGAGCTAAGAGCATGTTGTAAATGTATTGGCTTGAATGTTTCAAATGATGTTATGGGTGATTTCTATGTTGTTATAGATGGATTCAGTCCCTGTGCGACATGTTAGCAAGTGTCGCATTAAACTAAAAATTAAATATAAAATTTATATAAGGCATGCATTTTAAAATCTGAAAGCATATGCAAGAAAGCCATATGATTATCATTTTCCTTCAAAGAAAATATTTTCAATAAAATAGCAAGTTTTAACAAAATATTAGCACTATGACCAAAGACGCAGTAAAAATAGTGAACTCTGTAACACCATTTTCAACTCACATTTGCTCAAAATGCAAATCTTATGTAAATCATTATTTTTAAAAAATAGCATATCACATTAAATTACTTCCTTACTTCCTTACTCTCACATTGACTATACCTAGGAATGACAGCAGTAAAGATAAAGACTAATCTCATTTCTCTGCAGACTCTGACATCTGTTGCTGATCTATTTTGAGGGAAGAGGAGGAAGGGGAAAAGGTTAAATACAGTAGCATCACTTTCGTAAAACTCATTTTAAACAAAAATGAAGCTACCAGTTACTGATTTTAAAAAGAAAAACTTCAGCGTCCCACTTAAAGTTAACCACTGATTGCAGTGACTATTAAAGATCATAAATTTTTTAATAAAATGTTTGCCAAAATCAACAAACATCCCTAGTGGGAGACCCCATATATACACTGTCTGCTCTGCTTTTATTTTCGTTACACTTAAGTCAAGGGCATACTATGACTTCGAAGCAAAAGAATGATTTGTGAACTAACAAACATGGGCAGCCACTGGTGCTGCCATATACTTTCTTGGGAGTGTATCTCAGTGGTTCTTATTCACCAGCTAGGAAACTAATAAAAGCTTTTGACTTTGAACTTAAATGTATCTGACTTCTATGCACAAGATGCTAAGACATACTTCTGGTTGAGTCTCACCAGGACTAAAGAAGCTAGGACTTCTTATAAAATACGAATCAACAACATGATAGCAGGAAAAGAAAGGAAAAAAGGCCCTACAGGCCCAGCAAAAAGTGGCATAAAAATATATATTGACATGAAAATTTCAGCTCATAATGGTCAATTTTCTTTACCAAAGGCCATCAATCTAACTTTATTTCCATACAACCCACTCTTTAAAAAGTCAGTTTAGTACAGTGTAGACTCACAAAGTAGCATCTGAGTTGGACATCAATGGTTTAGGATATTGTTCATAAAGATTTTCATCAAAACAACAAAACCCAAATCTTCCAGCCTCTGTTACACAGGTGTTTTATTCATGTCTTTGAAAAGAGGAGGAGGCAGAGTAAGGCAAAAGATACAACTGGAAAAGGCAATTGAACAAAATTTCAGCTCTTTCTATACTGGGACATCAAAATGTCCAGAGAGAGACAAACCATCAGTTTGAGAAGAAAAGCATTTACTAGGTCACTTCTAGAAGGGAAATCTGCTACCACGGCCAGTTCACTATGCCAAGATTTAAAGAGCTCTGACAAATAAAGGCAAGTTTTTGCAATGCTGCCCTAAGTAAGACCTATAATTTAAAATATTTTTAGTTATAGAACCAAAAGTGCTATCAGCTAAAATAGTTATTTAGAACATATTACCCAGTCAGTAGCTTTAGAAACCAGATTTCCTGGTTATTAATAAAAGTGATTAATGATAGAAAATGAAATCAAGTTTTAATGCTAGAATGAAGTTTATTGAGCAGAGATATTAGATATCAAATATTAAAAAAAATGTGGAAACAGTATAAAATATAAAAAAGAAGCTGAAATATTATGACTAAGTCTCTGTGGCATCAACGTCACAAACACTGTAATTTGAAGATAAAGACTAACTTGCTTTTAACATATACTAATGTCCTTATTTGGATAAGAGCAAAAATGTATAACAACTAAAACTTATTAGAAAAACAACAAGTTCAAATAGCTGGGCATGATATGGGATTTTATTTTAAAAGCACATGAATTTCGCCCTCTTTTGTACTTGGGTAGAGAAGTTGGAGTTGAATTTTTCTCTCCACATACAGTGCTAAATGAATTCGTCTAATTTTAATCTTTGGAAAGACTCAGTTACATCTTCAGAAAATTCTCTAGGTTTAAGTTTTCAAAATGTCACATTTGCACATGGGGCATGTCCTATGGGCTAAAAGCCAGGGGTCAATGCATGCCTTATGGAAAAAATGTTTGCAAGTTAAAATGCGTACTACATCTTGGGGTTTGTACATGTCAAAGCAAACTACACAGCTGTCTTCATTTGGATCTAGTTCCTTATCCCCTTCTTTGAGCACCCGCAGTTGAAGCTGACTAATAGCTTTCTTCACATCTGCTTTTATCTGTCTTCGCCTCCTGGTGGAAGAATTGGGCACTCTAGGTCTCCAGGCACAGTACAAGAAAAGGTAGGCAATGGTGGCAGCCAGGAAGGTAAACAGGGACATGACATAATGGCTCAGCCATGGCATGTGCATTCTCCCCACTTCAATGATGATTGTCACATAGACTCCTTTCTGAATCAAGTGCAAAAGTTCCATGCCTTTCAAGTTGCCTATCATCACTGCAACTATATTTTCCGTTCCCTGGTGAGACATGGGAAATACTTTGTTGCCCGTACCTGGGTAGTTATAGATGATGACACCATTTGCTCCCTTCTCTGCTGCCACATTGATTTTATGTGTGAAAGTACAGCCTCCCCGTTCAATAAGGGCCAACCAAGAGTCTGCCTGTTCAGGCCTGCTGAAATTGGTCATAGGATTACAAGCGTTCTGATTCCATCCTTCAGGAAGTACCACCGCACCAGACACCCTTTCCAGAGGAGAATGATTCCCAAACACTCCACTCTCTCCTAGTTCTGATATAATCCGATTTCCTACCTGAAATGTTATATTCAGGTGGGCTGTCCAAATGGCTTTTCCTTTTGAGTCAGGAAGGCTAAGCAGTAGAAAGATGCTAAGCCTGAACAGCTGAGATGAAACAGAACTATGAGCTGAAGGAGTAATTCTAAGTAGGCTCATTCCTCCATTTGCCTGTTAACTGACAAACATGAGAAACAAAACAATATCAATTATAAAAGAAAGTAAAGAAGCTAGCTTCAACTGCTGACAGTAGATAATTAAACACGTTAAAGGAAAAGGTCTGCGTGGATCAAAGATATCTTGCTCCTTCCAGCATTTTTTTTGGTAGATTATCTTTCTTATAAGGAAACAGAACAAGAGATGTTGTTAGTACAATGTGATTTCAAGAAAACTATGACTTCCTAATGGGGAAATTGTGACATCAGAGGTAGTTAAGCCAATCCAAGAGTTTATATTAGTGCACTGCATACTGAAATCCTATTGGCCAAAAAGCTACTGGGCAAAGACTCACGGTATATAACAATTTGAATAAACACTAAAGCAATAAATAAATAGATTTTTTTTTTAAGTATTGAATTTCTTTTCTAATTCTGGATAGACTGAAAAGCTGCCTAACCACTTTTACCCTCATTGTTCTTCTGTCAGGCAAAGTAGAAATCTTTCACGTGTTAGTGCATGTACCTGGCCAATCATGTACAGTATACTACCTAAAACGCCATTCTGTGAGAAGCAGGAACAAATCCCTGCTCTCTTCCAACATCAAATGCTTATTCCCAGGCCTAAAGATTCAACAGGAGAATGCAATATAAAGTTGTACTGTTTGCTGATATATTGCCATCTTATAAGGCAGATTCAACTTTATTCAGTAAAAGAGCTATAGAGATTGTACTAGGTGCTAGGCAAATACTAAGTATGGGTCATATATATGAGAAGAAAACAGACATATGCCTACTCTGTATATTATCTAGCGAGGACAGATTTTCAACAAATAAACATGCGAATATGTAACTGCAGGTTGTGATAAAGGCTCCGAAAGGGAAACAGAGGATCAAGAGAAAAAAACAGACATGGGGAGGAGCTGAACTTCGTTTAGAGGTCCAGGGCACTACTCTCTAAGAAAGTGATACTTAGTCTGGGACTTGAGAGATAAATCAGAATTACCCAAGCAAAGAATGAGAGAAAAAAAAAAATATTGGGGGCAGAGGAAACGGAAGTTTCAGGACCATAAGGTAGGAAAGAATGGGGCAAATTAAAAGATCTGAAGAAACATGAGTTTGGTGAGGTGAGAGGAGAAAGCTGAGGGTGATGAAGAGGGTGAAAGTCAAACAGCAATCAGTGTTCAGGGTCATAAACCTCAGACCGAGGATTTCAGATCATGTCCCAAGGACAAGAGAAATGGCGAAGGGTTCCGAGCTGGGGAAGCGACATCTAAGTGTTTCAAAATGTTTACTTTTTAAGAAGTGTACTTTGACTGCTTTATGTGGAAAACAGGTTGTAGGAGGAGAAGAATAAAGTAGTGAGATGAGCTTAGGCAAAAGAAGTGGCTTGGACTCTTAAAGAGCAGTAAAGATGCAGAGACACAGACAAGTGCAGGAGTTACTTCGAGGTTAACCTAACAGACATGGTAGCTGGAAGGGAAGTAGGGGTCAGGGGAGAGGGCGGCCACAACTACCACAGCCCACTGCATTACTTAATTGTTCCAAACTATAGTATCTTTATTATTTTAAAGATGTTTTAATGCTTGTTTGCTTTTATTTTAAACGTTCACCTGTCTGTTTCTGGGAGTCAATACGTAGGCAACACCCATTTAAAACACTCAT